TACGAAACTGTTGTTAAACATAACATAGGGTCATAGAAAAACTTACTAAAAAGTACACGTATAATTTACAGACGCACTGAGCTCATAATACTTTTGCTATTGTCTTGTTACTCTCGGAAAGAAAGAGATATCACACTATCGCGTAAATTCCTAATAAAAAAGACTTTCAAATACCAAAAGAATTATTTAAATCCGTTGCGTAGTTTTAGAGTTAATCCGGTAAAAACAATAAAAATTTTTCAAACAACAATCTCATGTTGTACAAGATGCCAAATTAAAAGGAATTATGTATGTCTTTTGTTTTTTATATAAATATAACACTTATTACACTGTAACGTCATCATCAGCTCACTAATCGTCCCCATCGAGGGGCTCGGAGCCTACCCTAAGTTAAGGGTGATTAGGCCATAGTCAACCACGCTGGCCAAGTGCGGGTTTGTTGACTTCACACATATCTTTGAATTTCTTCTCAGATATGTGCAGGTTGCACGATGTTTTCCTTCACCGTAAGAACTATATTACACTGTAACATTTAGATAAAATATTACGAATTTTTGGTTTTCATTTTGCGGTTTGTACTAATTTATTATTACGGAAATGGACTTTTTGTAACTTAAGAACTAACATTCGTAATATATTGATACCATTTCCGAATCGATAACTAATTAGTTTAGTGTCAATTGACGTGCATTCCGGTCGATTATTTGCAAGTAACTTAATACATCAAAAGTAGAAAACAAATGCAGCTTTGTTTAAACTTTTAAACTAAGATTAAGCACATAAAATGTTTGATATGTTAGGTAACTACGATTTTTTTGAATTTCATACAACACTAAAGTTTACAAAAGGACAAAATTTATATAATCAGACTTTTACTATTGATAAAATCATTATTGATTTGTTTTTTCCGTCTCTTGAGCTTCCCTTAATCGTGAAGTAATCTTAAGTCTGGCGCACTACCACAATTAATCTTAAATACCAACTTAAGCTGAACTTGTTCTTTAGTTATTTGAAAGCTTTACATAACGTATTGATTTGACAAGCGTTTGACACTTGAAATTTATTGTGAATTCAGGCAGAATAGTCACACACTCTTTGGTCACACCTCAAATACACTTGACGAAATGTAACAAGTGACACGATAACTAAAGACAGCTCGGTTTATTTTCATTCATACTTCCACTTCTAAGTACGTAACATTATGGACATGAGCTTTTTAATAATACGAAAATACATACATCGTAGTTATTCCGCGTAGAGACCCATCTTATGAACCCATCCACGCATTGAAACCAACGGAGCGACACGTGTAATTGATAGGTGTTTGATCGCACGTCGCCCGACACGACGTCGACACGGAGCCGACACGAGGCGGCGACGCGAAAGCCGGTGTCGGATGCTTCGTATCGAATGTCGCACGCTGTCCCGTCGCCGAGGCGCTCTGATTGACGACAGAATAGACCTCCCGAGATGGGTCGCTCGCTATCTAGTGATGTTGCGGTTACATGCTGTCCTTTTAACCGTTATTACGCTTTACCAGCTTTAATATGCTTAATATTTAAAACGTTTACATATTTATATTTATAATAATTTTGTCATAAAAAGTATGGACACTTTCTACCTTGTTATAAGCTATAAATCAATCAAAATAACGACTTTAAAAACCTGATATTAAGCAATAACTAAAGTTATCTTTTAAATAAAACACTTAACAACAAACATAAAGTGTTTTATGAAATGTCAAATAAATTGTAATTTATTTAACACGTTAAGCAAATTCCACAGCGTTCCCACGATACAGAAACTGTGAAAGGATTTCTTTGCGTTGAGTTCAAGTTACAAACCTCTTAAGCACTCAGTACGAACTTATTCTCGCAGTTTATAAAAGTAGCCACAGATGAAACAAAACATTTCACTTAAATCGAGCAAACTGCAATACGAGCTTAGGCTTTCTTTGTATTTTTTAGTCTGTGGCCGCATTAAGTTTCAGTTTTTATTTTAGGTTGGTTAACTTCGTCAAAACAATGTTAAGCACAATAGGCAATTCGAGTAGTCAAGTTTGTTTTACACATCGTTATTGTAATCATTTTATTGTAGTTTATTTAACCATCACGATATATATGAGAAGTTAAAAAGATATGTAAAGTATTATAACAAAAATAAATTACAAGATATAGTTAGTAACATTTAGGAGGAAAATGTCTATTTAATTTTGCTGCAGTAATGAACATATATGGGCCAAACGTGACTCAAAAACGTTTGATGATTGTTGGTCTAAGAAGTGGATTTTTAAGGACTCGGAATGTGCCAGTTATTCGGTACTATATAAAAATAATTTACAACGCGTGTTTTTAAATTTTAATTAAATGTAATATAATAAAACATAGAAGCATATATGTACAAAGCAATTGGCTATGAATTATATAACAAAACAGCTGCGACGGCTAAATGATATCTCGATTACAGAATACATTAACCAGAATTAGTTCAAGCGATTACAGAGAATCGAAAACTTCTTAGAACAATAGCAAATAAAATCTTTATCACCGCATCCGTATTCTGAGCGACAAAACGTTATAAATTGCGTTGCAACTCCGATAGTGATAATGTCTATAATAATACCGTGGACGCTTTAAATTTTCCACCTCGAATTCCTAACACGGCTATAAACGAAAGCAGATATTGCCAATTAGATTGAAATAATAAGGAGTCGACTCGCGACAGACCCATATTTGGTGTAATACAGCCATGGAGCCTGAAGGTAAAAGGTTCTTATCATTGAAATATAGACCTTAGACAATTGTAATAAGGCCACTAAGATGGTACAGAACTGCAGACATCATTTAAATACCAGAAGAATTTTAAATTGTTGTGGTAACTAGACGTGTTAAGTGGAGGAATAAACTAAGATCAAACTTCACTAGTTAATCCTGTTAATTGTAGTATACAAATCTGTCGAGATAATTATGTGCTATTTTTAAATGTGTTACTTTGTAGGCCGTAGTCATAACAAACACACAGACAGATTTTACAACTCGCGTCGCGTCTATCACGCGTCTATTGACTTATAAAAGGTTATAATAGCATTTAATTAAACATTAATAGACCAGAATACAATAGAGTGTAATTGTCAGAGACTGGTAAATCTTATAAATAATACTAACGAAAGCGTATGTTCGTAGCGTCATCTTAGTTACGAAACGCTATTAAGAAAGGCCATATTAGCAGGCCTACGCGACACAGTCGGGGTTCCTCTTATTTCACCATGCTTTCAAGAACTAAATAGAAAAAGGAAAACCTAATGGATTCAAGTTCTATAAGAATGGATATAAGTTTTACGAATTTTGTATAAACTTTGGTTAGCAAATAGCTAGGGAAAACCAATGAGTAAGACAGTCTGCTGAACTTTCGTCTTATTGACTGTGATTCAGTCTCGTTTTATGACTAGATGGAATTACCGCTAATCTTACTAATATTATAAATGTGAATATTTCGATGGATGGATGGATGGATATTTGTTTGAAGATATCTTTAAAACGACTGAACTGATCTCAATGAAATTTGGCATACATATAAAACATAGTCTGGAAGAACACATAGGCTACTTATTATGTTTTTTTAATCCCGCACGAAAGGGGTGGCGGGCGACAGCTAGTATTTTATACAACATATTTGGTTATTATCTACTAATCCTTCCAAATATTTTCCATCAGCAGACAGTGTAACATAATGAATCTATTTACTTTTATTGTCGGAGGTCTTATGCCAACTTTGGGTCACTGCAGCACTCTCGTAAGCTGCCTATATAGAGGATTAATTATAGTGATTGCGGAATTAGAATGATAACAATCGGAAGTGATTGATCCTATTCGTCCTTGCCCTTGGCGTAGTATGTCGACACCTGAGCTGCGTGCAGTACCGATAACCTTAACATTTAACTTGTAATCTATCCCATATTACGAACATTTACACATCTTTTTTTATATCAAATGGTGGCAAACGAGCGAGCGGTCTGAAATCGCTGAAATAGCGAAGTGACCGTTGCCCATAGACACACGCAATTGCATATGCGTTGCCTACCTTTAATCGACGGAGGAGAGGATGCAAAGAAAGAAAATATTTTCCCTTTCCATGCATCCTCTCACCCAGAAAGGCCACTTCCACTTCCCATCCTTTCCTTATAAGGAAAAGGGCGGGAAGGGAAAGAGGACTAATATTGGCCTCCGGGACGCACACTCATCAGACGAAACGCGGAATAGCTTTCACTTCACGCCTGTCTTCTGTGTGGTCGTGGTATTTCACCGGGCGAGCCGGGCCGATTCGTGCGAAGATGTTAAAGCGGGCTCTACCACTGTTACACTGTTACATCTACGCACATTGTCGATAATAATTAGAAACCTTAGATCTTAGCACCAGCAATTTTCATCACTAACATTGCTATTTATTTTTTCAAGGCAGTCTGATAATTGAAATAAAAATCGGGATAATTGTAGCTTTCAAATATTTATTTTCATGGACGCTTCTAGGGTATCATCTGCAGGGAGAGATCGTTTAAGTGTTGGGAGTTACGGGAAAAATAAAAATAAAATCATCGATGACCCTTAAGGTAAATAAAAGACCTATGAAAAGACAGTTCATCTTTATGGTTGTAAGTGTCTTAACAATATTTTCATTTTCATTTCAGTATTTTATCAACATTATCAGAGTACGTCGTACGTAATCATTAAGAAAAATCAGTTTGAAAGTAACAATAAATCGCTGGCTCAAAAAATAATACTGAAAAATATAAAAACATGGTAAAATAAGATCAATTACTATATTTTCCTGATGTACTTGGTACAAAATGTATTAAGAAATAATATAAAAATACAAAAACTTATATTAACAAAATGATAAACCAAAAAATATACGTAAAATATCACAGATTATTTCAAACCTATACCCAAGACACATGCTGCAACTACAATTTTTACATTAAATACAAAATGCAGTCTGACAATTTTAGTAAACAAAATAGCCATCATCATAATGATAATGTTTTGTTCTATTTGATGCTAGACCTTCTGCAATACGATCGCCTAAATCTGGATGTATAATAGAAAATAACTTGACAGCTTTTTCCTGTAGAAATTTTGCTGCGCCTCCTAAACTATACAGTACATTTTCAACAAGGCGACTTCGTTCATCCTTCGTCATCTCATTTACGTATAATTCTGTTGCTTGCTGGAAATTATTTGGGTCATCTTGATATATATCGATTAACTCTGCTCTTTTCTTATCCACATACGCTGCAGCTCCGTTATACGAATTTGGGTAATAATTTGGAGTATCTTTTTCATTGTCTTTAACTGGAGGTCTACCATCACGATTGTAAGCCAAGACTTTAACTTGAATAGGACCATTTACAGGTATCCTATTAAAGTTTGCTCCCAAACGGTAATACTGAGCGTCCCGGTAAGCTAAACGACGAGCTTCAAAAACTTTATCAGGTCCCCCTAAAATTCCTGGTACTAAGTTAGCAGGACTGAAAGCTAGCTGTTCTATTTCAGCAAAATAGTTTATTGCATTTTTGTTCAGTACAAACACACCAACAGGTTTCAGTGGATAATCATCTAAAGGCAATACTCTGGTTACATCGAAAACATCAAAACCTGCATTCTTGACGTCATCAAGAGATAACACTTGTATACTAACTTTCCAACTAGGAAAATCTCCATTACCTATAGCTCTGTATAAATCTCTAGTAGCATAATCTGGATCGATAGCTGCGATTTTTCTAGCTTCCTCAGATCTAAGATTTTTAATTCCCGCATTTGGTGTAAAATGGAATCTAACGAAACTCTTTTCTCCGTGTTCATTAACAACTTCAAATGTATGTATTCCAAATCCCGGCATATGACGATATCCATCTGGTATTCCCCTATCGCCAAACACTAAGAGAAACATATGTAAACTTTCAGGTCGTAAAGTCAAGAAATCCCAAAGCATGTTCCCATCGATGAGATTCGTAGCTGGATTTCTTTTTTGTGCTCTTACAAAGGTGGAGAACAAAAGAGGATCTTTGTAAACATACATTGGTGTATTGAAGCCTACGATGTCAAAGTTACCCTCTTCAGTGTAAAACTTGAGGGCAAATCCTCTGGCATCTCTGGAAGTATCTATTCCTCCTCTTTCAACGACTACTGGTGAAAATCTTGCTGCTATCGGTGTTCTTTTACCGATTCTACTAAATAGTTTGGCTTTGCAAATATGAGTAATGTCATGGGTTACTTCGAAGTAGCCAAATGCGCCTCCTGCTTTCGCATGGACTAGACGTTCTGGTATTCTCTCTCGAACAAGATGTGTTAGTGAGTCCATAAAGTATTCATTAAATATTAAATTAGAGTTAAGGGTTACTGTAGCATCTTTGTATTCTATTGGAGCACCAGCACTCGTTGTCATAACACCGATCGGTCCCTAAAATAAAAAATGGAAGTTAAATTACTTTTTTAAACTGTCTTAATTTAGGTATATGCTTTAGTTTCTTGATTGAAAATCAGTAGTTGGACCAATTTATATAATAGATTGACCTTGTCACAATACAATTATTCGAACTATGTCATGACCCTCATAGACTTTCCGATGTTATGAAAAATATAACAGTTTGTCGCAGCCTACGCCTTTAATTTACATTGGAGCGATCAATCAATACCTGTAAATACTAACTTCATTCAAAGTTAAAATAATCTTATTGTAACAAAAAGTGAAGTAAATACACTTTTTTCGCAACCATAACATTTCACGAAATATAGTTTAGAACATAAAGATTTGAAATAAAAAATATATAATTTACCGAAAAAATAAAATTATTTGTTCATAAGTAAATAACATCCTACCGTGGGTTTCTGAGACCAAACCCCGTTTAAAACATATTGTTATCCCTCTTTTGTCAAAGATGAAAGCAGGGATGACGATATAATTTATCCAGAGATTTTGACGTCGGAAACCCACGGTAAATCAGTGAATCAAAATTATAAAAGTATTCCAAAACAAACCTTCGTCTTTTCCTTAAAGAGCAAAATTTGTTGTCCAGCTGGGTCATTTCCATTTGCTCCCGCCGCCACGATTAGAACCAGAAGAAAACCTCGTAACATCATTGTTTACACTTCCAGCATCCTCTCCGAGATACTAGAGTCAAACGGTTGTTTGGTCTATCAGCACAGTCTTTATATCTCAGTCAACAGCTCGGCCTTGTCTCTCACTGGCCAAGTCTCATGGGCCGCGCAACTATTGCCCAACGAAAGTGAAAAATGTTGAACAGCTTACGTGTTTTCAGTGTCACAATTATTATATTTGGATCTGAAACAAATTGTTTTATTAAACGTAAAGTTTAACGATTAAGAATTAAATAGAAAATAACGTGCTATAACCAACCTATATATTTATCAAGATTTGCAAGTTTTGTTTCTTAACCAAACCATGATTTGTTGTGACAATTTTAGAAACAGTAGATTACTTTTAACGTAATAATACGTTTTAACAGCCAAGCTAATAACTTGTAAGAACAACTGGTGTTTAGTACGCACTAAATGCAAATTACTAATGAAATAAAACCATGAAGCTTGCTACAATTTTCATTATAAAATCTGGGTTATCTAGAATGTCGCTCACATAATAAAGTCATTGAAAGTGTTATAAAATTACTAAAGTATAATAGATTTTATATTGGCAGAGACTGTGTCAGAACCTTATTCAAGAAAATTAAAAAAAAGTAAACTTTTACTCATATGCGATTCTACTGTCATCGTTTTACTGAATGACGTTCGAGTTAGCTACTACCCTACCATAGGAATTAAAGTTTAATTATTTTTACTTAAACAATGCAATGTTTATATCATAATATAATATTGGCAAAAAACTTAAAACGGATTATTTAGTGAGGAAATTTGAACAATATTTACTACTGTTAATCGAAGATGACAAGTAATTTTAATCCAGCATACGGATTAATTCTAAAGAAGTATGCTATTCTCCACTTGAAATCCATTATCACACATTGGTTATTTAAGTCAAGACAAAACAAAAAACTAAACAGAGTAAAACAAATTTGAATAGTTACAAGTATTGTTATGCGGGTATCAGAGATTTTTTAATCACATCCAACTGGCAAAATAAATTTCATATCCCAAACGCATACTCAAAACCCGAAACTTCATTTTAGCAAATTTGCTATTATAAATGAATCGGCGTTATTCTATAGAGCTATAAAATGTTGTAGTATGTTATATGTTCTCTCACCTAGTTAACAGCGGAAGACGTACAGAGATCACCGTTATCACGTACCGTATCTGGTGCTTGCTGAGTGAACGTACATATTTCATCGCCGGCTCGTCACACTCCAACGACCGTTGAGAAACACCAAACAAAAGAGCAGGCTTGTAATCATTATGTCAGGCGCGCTGCTATCGTCGCATTTTATTTAAATTAAACTGACAGAATTATTAGTGTAACATTTTAAAGTACACATAATTTAACTGTGTCACAAACACAGTCTTGTAATCGAAAATGTAAACCACAAAACATGTAAATAGAATAAAATTATTATTTAAATCTGAGTCATTGTAAGTACATCTAAATCTACAAATTGAATAAAAGATGGAAAAAGAGATCGTAGATCAATTAAGATTGCTAAAACTAAAATACAATATTTCTGTCCATAATAGGTCCAACAAGGAATCCCGATACGAGATATCTTATTCACTACAAAACTGTACTGAAAAGGCAGTTCGAATATTTCACATTACTTTCGACTATTTATATTTAAACCCGAATGGACTGGACGCCAAAAGACGGAGCTCCATAAGTTTCAATCGGAGACTCGGAAAAATGTCTCAGTAAATTATATTGTTGATAGTAGATTTTCAAATTCAATGTGTATGAAACAGTGCCATATCGTAATGCAGATCTTAACTTGAATTAAGGAAGGATAGTGTTAGTAATAAAAGTCAATCTCCAACTTTATTGTAAAGTTTTACCAAAATAAAAAAAATATTATTAGTCTGTTTCACTCTGTTACAAATTTATATTGTCTGTTTGCTCTTTATTATTGTCTATCACTTTTTTATACTCTTTGTTGTCTATTGTCGTCTCAAAGAAAAATGTGAAAAGTCAAGTTACTTCTAAAAATATATTCCACGATATATAGATCACTTATTATTCAATACGTGTCATTATAAAATGTTAAATTCTTGAGTTTTGCACTGTAATTCAATATCAGTGTGTTTATAATACTAACCTACAACAAAAACTAAACATGGCAAGGTCGCCGACTGATGATTTAAGATTCGGCGACATACCGCTCAATAGTTGGAATTTCTGCACGGAAACAGGTGACAACAGTCAGCCTGGTCCAATGAACGAGAGGAAACCCACGCCGATCCCAAGCAATCCCGCTACAATGGCAGATAATAACATTTACAACACTCCAAATTACAGCAAAGATGTTTATCTAAATAAACATCACTTTAGTGTTCAAACTAACGAATGCATTGGAAATAGAGAAGAAAACTGTTCGTATAATGGACCTAATGGTTCTATAGGCAACCCAAACTATGGGAATGCAATGCTTAAGTTAGACAATGGACAGCTGGTAAGAGTGTTCTATGATGAAAACAATCAACAACTTATTTTCCCAAAATCTGGACAGTACGAATTGTTCAACAACAACCAGGGGCTTTGTGATATGCCAATGCAACAACATAATTTATTTAATATGAATCAAGATTTTTCTGTCCCTAATAATCTTCTTATTCCCCCTCCAGCAAATGTACCTAATAACTCATTTTGTCAGGAAAATATGAATGCGCAGTCAAATATGCAAACATCAAACTTTATAAAAGAAGTATTGGGTAACTGGGAGCCAAACTCCTCTGGTACATATTCACCATTTGGACAAAATTATCCATTGAATCATCCTGAAGCACCTTCCTTAAATATTTTACCAAACAACAACATGTTAGATCCAATTCAATCAATCAAGTTGGAGAGCTCTCCGAAGAGAAACGATAATAGTCCTTTGGCTGACACAAGTAACAAGAAGCGCATTGTTGCAGAAGTGAAGCCAATGCGTCCCTCATACTCAGATGTGCTTGCTAAAAATACTAAAAACAACCCCCAACCCGATAATACTCGAAAAGTAAAACCACAGAGTGTTGAAACTAAAAATAAACTAAGTTCCAAAAATGATAAGCCCCTTACTAATGCAAAATGTAATGATGATAAGCATAAAACTGATAAAAAACAAGCCAATAATTTATCCTCTGGCAGTGAATCAGGAGACATCAATGCAGATGATACAGAAAGAAACAAGAAGACAAACAAGAAGTCAAAAAACAAACGAAGCAACATGACTCGCAGATGGTCGTCTCTTGATGACTTAAATGATGAAAATGGAGTAAAATTTGAACAAAGTAATGAAAGTCAATTTGTCTTCATACAAAGCAACAGTGATAAATCTCATAAAAAAGATAAGAAAGAAAACAAAACAAAGAATGTGGAAAAGAATAACATTGAGAATGATTTTAAAATAGATGATGATGAAGATGATCAATCACAATTCATCCTGAACGATAGCCAAACTGAAACATCAAAAGTGAAGAAAAGAAAAGAAGGACGCAGTTATCACAAAACACCAAAACCAGCTCAGGATAAAAAGAAACCGAACCAGACCAAATTCAGAAGGAACAAACCTGGGTATTTGGGCTTGGCTCAAAACTGGCTGGAGCATTGGGCTGATGTGACTTGGAAGGCAATTGTGTGGTTCTTTTACTTGCTTTCTGATATATGTGGTATGAGTTTACATCTATCTTTTGACCTGTAAGTTCTATGTTTTCTATTTAATTTATTTATTCTTTATCAAAAACATAAACCATCTTTTTAATATTATTAACATAAAGTATTTATTAACTTGAAATAAGAGATTACAGAATAGTATATTATTACTATTATACTATATTTTGCTTTTAGAACAGTATTTTAGCCTGAATGTTTCTGCAGTGTAAACCCGGGGTAAAAACATTTATATTTGCAGCTGCACATCAGCATTTACCCAGACATACATGAGCTCACAGGCAGTATGGCGCAGTAGCAAGGACTGGCTCTCCAAGATGGCGGACAACAAATTCTTACTTTACATTGATAGAAAACTTGGACACACATACTTTGGATTCTGGAGAAAACTTAAATGGTTCAAGAAAGGTATAGACCATTTTAATATTACCACCAAATATTAAAATACTATTTTGTTATTTAAAACCACCATAAAATATTAAAATTAATATTATTTGTTATTAGTATTATATTAAATTTTTCAAAGAATATTAAAAATCAGTGTTTTTGTGTTTGTAAGGTTGAAAAATGTTGTTGAAATAAGCCATTTTAACTTCTTTGTCATATCTTCAATGTTATATCTTATTGGATAAGCACTTTAGCAACTCATTGTGATATTGTTTCATATTAAAAATAATTTAAAATAACTCTTCCATTACAATTATTATTATAATTAGGCCTTCAATTTTATTTGATTATATCAGAATTTAGCATTGACATTGTTTTGAAAAAAATAATAAAAAAATTAGTTAATTTTATAAGGTCTCCTATTCTAAGATCTGACCTTATCATTTTTTTATAACATAAGATGACAAACATGCTGCCGATTGACTTCCACAATTGCAGATGTAGGCTCTGGCCTAACCTTTAATTGACAGAGGAGGCGACACATAGAAAAAGGAATATCCCCTTACTATGTCTCCCATCCATCAAATCCAGATTACATCGGAGATGGGGCTAAAATTAAGCCTAAAAATCTTTTGTTGTCATGAGTCCTGTTACATATTGTTGTTTTTTTAATGTAGATTATCCTTTTTTACAGAAACAGAAACTGAAGCAAATAGTAATGCAACAAAATTGAACGCAAACATACCACTGCCTGCTACCGGGGAAGAAGCTATGAAAAGATTGCTCGCTTGTAAAGGAAAAGACCCATACAGGTAAACTTAATATTAGTAATATTTTGTTCCATGATAAACATCAAATATAGTTGAACATGGATAAGGGAGAGTCCAAGGGATGAAATTTTTCTTTTGTGGTTTCTCTTGTATAAGATCGACTGTACCTTAGAAAAATTTATAATAGCTTAACTATGATACGTTTTGCATAATTTCCTATAATTTTATATCAAACAAATTGAAAAAAAAGTTTACAAGATTAGTGATACAATGAAGGTATCTCCAAGGCAACGGCATAGATTCAGAACATAGCCTAGAATAAAACATAGGCTACTAATTTTTTTTTTGTTTATTTCTTGCGGACGGAGACGTAGGCGACAGCTAGTCTACTATAAAAAATATTAAACCATTTTAGCTTATAAAGTGGCAATCTTATAATTAAGTCTTTATCAATGTAGGTGATTTTGATAACACTTATGTCAACGCATAACTGTATTTATCGATAATGTTTATATAATCATTTTTACGCAAAATATTACAATAAGACATATGTATGATGTAACAATTTATGTACATTGTAATCAATATTAAAATGTGTACAATTACGAGGGAATCCCCTGTTGGAAATGCTACAATGGAAATGAAATACATGATTATTAATTTCAAAACATATAAGGATTTTGCTTTTTAATTCTTATAAAATTAAAAAAAACACACCTCACGTAATTTATGGAAGCCCCCTTTTTACTTGAAGTCTTAAATCGTTTTATAATCTATACATATCTTTATATATATAATTCTTCTGTGAGTGTGTATGTCACTGAACTTCTCTCAAACGACTGGACCGATTTTGATGAAATTTTTTGTGTGTGTTCAAGGGGGGATCTGGGAATGGTTTAGATTCACAATTTTCATCAAATATAAACTTCATATTAATTTATTCAAATTAAAGACGTGTAGACAGGACAACGTCTGTCGGGTCCGCTAGTTAATTAATAAAATTGTAGTGTCTGTATGTAATATAAAATTACTTATTTCGTACATCGGTCGGTTCTTGGAGCTGATGCAAGCTAAGATATGTTATAAGCAATTTTTTTCAATTCTGCAGTGACAAAGTCGAAGGCGACTGTTAGTAAACAACATAATCATAGATAATTTTGTGTGCAGTATCTTAGGTGTCAGCGTGACGTGTTCCGATGAAGACATAAAGCGGTACTACAGACGACAGGCGTTCCTCGTACATCCAGACAAGAACCCCCAACCCGGAGCCGAAGAGGCCTTCAAGATATTGCAGCATGCATTTGACCTCATAGGGGAACCGGTAATGTATAAATAAAATAGCATAGGTTAATGGATTTAAAAACTTTTCACTATGAAATGAGGGTAGCAAAAAAATTATGATTTTATTACATCTCTCTTATGCTCTCACCCT